TCACAATGCTGGGAGAAGTAACGCTTCAGAGAAGTTGCAGAATTTATTGGCTCTGCTCTTCCAATGCGTAACTTTTTACACTGGCAAAAATACAGAAGGTGCATCCTGCACAAACTTAATGAAGATCAGGCTAAAATTGCTTATAACAGTCCCAGAAGGAAAATTCACAATAAAGTAGGAACAAAAATTGTTAAGTTACCCATATGTTCTGATTAGGAGCGCAGTGACTTTGCTAATCACACAGCTTATAATTCCAGAGAAACTTTATATTCAGGGCATGAAAACTGATGTATAAATTAGCAGAAACGCAAGAAGATTTGATAGTACTTGATTAACTGGACAATAAGCACCAGAAACAACACATTAGGAAACTGGTGCCATTTTGTGATTGTAACAGACACGTAATAAAGATTAAAAAAAAAGCAGCCATTACACAAAATCCAACTATTTTTGGTTTGTTTTAAAGAAAAAGTCCCCTGTTCAGTGCTAAATGGGAGTCCTCACTGAGCCTGAAACAGAACAGGAGCTTTGTAAAGAGCCTTTGAACCAGGATTACTTCAACATAGACAGTGGGATTGAGTGCACCCTCAGCAAGTTTGCAGACAACACCAAACTAAGTGGTGTGGTTCACACACCTGAGGAAAGGGAGGCCATCCAGAGGGACCTGGACAAGCTTGAGAAGTGGACCTGTGCAAACCTCATGAGGCTCCACAAGGCCAAGTGCAGGGACCTGCACCTGGGTCGGGGCAATCCCCACTGTCAATACAGGCTGGGGGATGAAGGGATTGAGAGCAGCCCTGCAGAGAAGGGCCTGGGAGTACTGGTGGACAAAAAGCAGGACATGACCCAGCAATGTGTGCTCACAGTCCAGAAGACCAACTGTATCCTGGGCTGCATCAAAAGAAGCATGGCCAGCACGTCGAGGGAGGTGATTCTCCCCTTCTACTCTGCTCTGGTGAGACCTCACCTGCAGTGCTGCCTCCAGCTGTGGGGCCTCCAGCATAAGAAAGACATGGAGCTGTTGGAGTGAGTCCAGAGGAGGGCTATGAAGATGCTCAGGGGGCTGAAGCACCTCCCCTATGAGGACAGGCTGAGAGAGTTGGGGCTGTTCAGCCTGGAGAAGAGAAGGCTCTGGGGAGACCTTATTACAGCCTTCCAGTGCTTAAAGGGGGCCTGCAGGAAAGGTGGGGGCAATCTTTTTAGCAGGGCGTGTTGTGAATGGACAAAGGGTAATGGTTTTAAACTAAAGGAGGGTAGCTTTAGACTAGATATAAGGAAGCAATTTTTTACAGTGAGGGGTAGTGGAACACTATAACAGGGTGCCCAGAGAAGTGGTGGATGCCCCATCCCTGGAAATGTTCAAGGTCAGGTTGGACGGGGCTCTGAGCAACCTGATCCAGCTAAAGATGTCCCTGCTCACTGCAGGGGGGCTGGGCTAGGTGACCTTTAAAGCTCCCTTCCAGCCCAAACCATTCTATGATTCTGCAATACCATCCTCAGTATCACATAATTCAGGTACCCTTCCAGAAGAAAGCAGTTGCTTTTAACAGCTGCTTTTAAGCAACTCGGAAGCAAGTCCCTGTTGCCATCCCACTGCTTGCTCCCATTCCCGACCTGCACAGGCAGCCCACCTGTGTGTCCCATCACAAACCAGGGGGGTACCTGCGCACAGCCGCTCTGTCTCCCTGCTCCCAGTCCCCAACCTCACCTCCACCAAAGAGCCAGAGCCTCCCCTTTCCAGCTCAGCTGCAATCAAGGCCCCATTTGTACTCTCTTTTCTCAGGGTCCTTCAACTACCTGTGAACTTCAGCAGCCTTTCCCTCTAAAACACTTTGTTCCAAGTGTGCTTGCAAACCCCCATTTCCACCCTCAATTACTCTCTGAGCCTCTGCTCCACTCATTGGGCAAATCCCCTGCTCTTCCCACATGCCCTTCTCCTGCGCTTACTCCCTTTCAAGTCCCCCTTCCAAGCATCCAGGCAGCCGGCACTGGCATTACAACTTTCCCAGCCTTCCTGGAAGCCCCTTGCAAGTGACACACTGAGATTTAAACTTGTCTTTGAGATATCCACATCCTACACCGCTAGTGCGCACGGCTACCACCATCAGGTGAGACACCCGGCTCTCTCCATGGTGAGGCACTGCACTGCCATTTTTGAAGAAATCTTCCAGCTCAACAGCAATCCAACACCGTGCTCGCTGAGGCTGAAAGAGTGGCCAGTGCAGGCCTCCCCACAAAGACAGCAAATCACCCTCATTAGCTTTACTCACGCACACCCATCCAAGAAACTCCGCTGCAACTAACAGGAGCCTTTCCATACACTTCAGTAGGCTCTGAGTGAGCTGAAACTCCACCCTTTCTGAGCAGTTGCTCAGTTCATTTGCTCCGTAATTCAGCACAGCACTGCTTTGAAAACATCTTTCTGATGCAGTTTTCCTGCAAATGGCATAATAAGAAATAATAAGCAGGTGCTTCTGAACACAAACCCAGAACAGCGGAAGCATAAAACAACTATAAATGAAACAATTAAGTAACCACACTGTTGACTGTTTATTGACAATCTTTATTAGAGCGACTTTCCATGTTTAGAGGTTTCCTAGAAAGTATAAATAGGAATGAAAGTGGTACCTCTCAGTAAGAAACCTTTATTTGCACAAAAAGACACAAACAACTAGTATTTCAAAGTTCATCCTATTTAGTACATATAATACCAAAAAGGCAAAAAATAAACCAAGATGAAAGACTAGCAGCTAAAAAGAATTCGAGTTCTCCTTCAACACAGCCTGTGTGCTTCCATATTTCTCTACGAAATAGAGTATAAAGAGAATTCAATCCATTTATATATTAAATATCCTACCAAAAATATAACACTGTGTAAAGAAAGTTAGTAGTACAAAGTTCGGGGGGAATAAAAAAAAAAAGAAAAAGGAGAAAATAGTAGCTGTAATATTAAAAATTTCAAGTGTAAACTTTACTGCTGCTTTAAAATAAAACACAACAAAAGTCACATGAGTATTTCCGTTTGGCTTAGCAGCCAGGAAAATAAGAAAAGCTGATTTTTTTTTTTTTTTTTAAAGTGCTTAACCACCATATCCAAAAGTAATGACTTTCAGACCTACTTAACATGAATGTGCTCAAAAAGCCACTGCTTACAGTATAAAAGCTGTCATTCTGAAATGCTGCACATACAAACTGCCTTTATCTGCACGAATGAAAGATTGCTTTGAACAGCTCTCAATCATATGATGTCCCAAATCAATGTAATGCTATTAGAGCAGGCAGCTGAGTAAGTCCCAGAAAGTTGAAGTTTAAGAATAACAGATACAAAAAATAATCTTTTTTTTTTTTTTTAAAAGGCAGCATGCCTCTCCCAGCCGCGAGAAGGTAACTTTATGTAATAAGCAAGAGAAACACAGTTTTATGTTACTGTTGTAAACTACCTAGAACAAACTGGCTGTTGCCCTAGTAATTCACATGTTTAACAGAGGGAGATAAATACTTCTTACCAATAAAATGCAAAAAGGCAATCGTGGGTGAGAGCAATCGCTAACACAGCATTTCACTTAATATTAAACATACTGTCAACCTGACTTTAAAAGGGACAGTATGTCCTAACTAAAAAAAAAAACACTACACAGAAAATAACAAGAAAAACAAGAAAACCAAGGACTTGAAGAGCTTTAGGACTGTTTCGTTACATTGTTATATATTTATTTGAGCCTTAGTGCAAAGGAAAAATTTAACATTCCAGGCTCCAAAGCAAGTCAAATACATGAGACTATTTCATAGGGGTTTTTGACAGACATCAGACACACAGATTCCAAGAGAAATTTAATTTTTTAGCTGTAATGGCCATTCATTTTTATCTCAAGGTTAGAAAACACATTTAAAAAATGGGAGCAAAGACTCTGGGATTCATTAACCTCAAGTACAGCTATAAATCGTTTCAACCCCACCACTCTCCCAAATCAGGACTTTCCCAACAAAACTGAACCATCAGAATTGCTGCAGCCATTGAATTGTGCCCACAGGCCCCAGTCTGTCAGTAGCACTAATCCTCCCCCACAGTTACTGTAACAATTTCTCTATCAGCTTTGGAATCCTGCGAGCCTGAATTTGTTTACATTCTCCTACTTCAGAGGCCTGATTTTTTTTTTTAACTATTTCTTGAAAGTCATCAGTTCCCAACACAGTATCTTCATTGTCCTTCAGGACAGTTTTTAAGTTAGAGAACCTTCCGGTTCGTTTACCACTAAAATACATATTATCTAGAAAAGGTAGCTTTTCCCCTGCAAAGTTCCTCCATATTAAGTCATAGCAAGCTCTAGACCAGGAAATTCAGCATCTCCAGTGATTTGACTTTACCTCACTTCTCCTCTACAAAAACAACAACAAACCCTTTATAATGAAAAAGGAAAGGAAATAAACAGTGAAGCATCCAGTTACTTGTGCAGATACCTAAAATAAGCCTCTGAAAATGTAACATTTGAAAAGCAATGATTTTAGTGGTTAAAGTGTGCAAATGACTAAATACCTGTTTCAGAGATAACTGAATACTGCAGTCATCAACGATTACTATTCAAGTCTAGCACTGGCAGTTCTGTTGCTTTTGTTGCTGGCTTTGGACATTATATATTTCCACTTTCTCAGCATATTTCATGCCTTTTTTTTTTTTTTTCTTTTTTAACAGGTACCAGCAGCATGACTTCAGAGCAGTATAGGAAGGATGGAAACTTTTTCTTTTTTAAAGGTTTCCTCTCCATCCCGAGCCTAGCAAGACTGAGTATTTTGTGGAATTAAACAAAATGTTTCAAGAAGGAACATCAAATACTATTTTAAGTTTTGTCTGTCTACAAAAAACACCACAAAAAGATTCAGAATCTCAGGTTTCTGTCAAACAAATAGGAAAAATATGGGAAAATATCATGCAAGGAAAGTGTAGCTATTCTATTGATGAGAAGTACAAAAGCTCAGGAACAGAAAAACACCAGCTTCAGGCCGAGACTGAAAAAAAACACGGATTTTTCAAAACCAGAGTCCATACAGTGTCACATAGCCCTGCCTTGTCGTGTTTGTTAATATCCTTGCTTAGAAGTCAGACAGCATTTTGTTTAACTTGTGTTGCTCTGTATCATTACACTAAACCATAATTAACTCCTCTTTTGTGCCGGCCTCATTCCAACACAATTGTACCCACTGTATACCAGCAGCAGTTCTCAGGTTTTGTTTTGCAGCTCAGCTGTATTTTTCTTGGATGTTCACAAGACTGGCATTTGACTGGATGCGCTTGGCTAGAAAGGAAAAAATTACATGAAAATTAAACACAAAGAATCCCACAAAACTAGTCTCTCCACTCCCTCTATTTATCTGACACAGACTTGCAAACAGCTTTCTGTTCACGTCCCGAAACTTTAATGAAAAGATATGGCTGAAGCTCTTTACTACCCTTCTTCAGGGGACAGCAGCAGACTAATAGTCGCTATTAGCGCCGTCAGCACAGCTGCAGGCAGAGCTGGCTGGGCCCCCTCTCCCACAAGAGCCAAGTGAGTCCCTGGCACCACCCAACTCCAACAGTGAAACGCCAGCACCATCACTTACGCAAAATGAGTATCCGTTTCTTCTGCTTTGAGTGAAGGAAGCTACTAAGATAAAAAACAATAGGTAGGAAGAGAATAAAGGATGAAACTGCAATCACTGGGACTGTATCACTGCAGGGAACAGAACAGTTGAAAGTCCTGCTCCAAAGCTTCCGAGTGATGTTCATCTAAAAGAAAAACATAAGCCATGAAAGCAAGCACACCCATTTCTGCTGCGCAGCACGGCAAACGCTCAGGCCTCAAGACATGCAAGTCTCAAATACGACCTCAGAAAACAACACTAACAGATCTCCCCCCAAAAGCAAGAAAATCCCTGGAAATGTAGAAACGGACAATTTAAACGGAGCCCAGATCTCACATCAAAACTTTTCCAAGCTTCAAAACCAGACTACGCTCAGATACACCGCAGACATTGCCATATGCCTGTTTTCCTAGAGAACTCACTGACAGCCTGCGGGGACAGGGCTAATCCCATACTTTTGACAGCACTCCTTTTGCCCAACCGCTTAAAACCCCACAGTATAACAAAGCTTTTTCCAAACATGTGTCACCAATGCTGAGGACCCCTAGAAACAGCTGCTGTAATAACGAATCCATTATTACACTGGCTAGAACAACAGCAGCAAAGCTTCACATTAAAAGCCAGAAGATTAAGAGATTATTTTTTATTTAAATCCAGCCCTTTCCCCATAACAAGAAGTTAAAGTGCAGCTCCTCAAACTGGAATGGGCCCGGGTAATCAGGAGCTTCAGTCATGCTCCTGCTGCACTGACTGAGGAGAGGACCTAGCAAGAAGACAGCCCCACCAAGCTAACTTTCCCCCACAGGACATCAGCCTGCCAAAGGCACTGCTGCCCGTACTGTCCCACACCAAAAGAAAAGCACAAATAGCTCAGATTCGTAAAGACCTCCGCGACAAACTCTCCCTGTTGAGTATTAATAAATACTTACTGCATCTTCCACGTCGATACACAAGTGTGTGGAGTGCCCAGACTCACCACCTTGCCTGTTCATCCTTTGCAAGTTGTTATACAGGTCATTCAACATCTTGTAGGTTTCGTTGCAGTTTTTACATACTTCTGTGTAGTTATTTGGTGACAGATAGATGGTTTGTCCCTAGGGTTATAAAACAGCATTCACATCGAGTTTTAAGGCATCATAAAAACAACTTAAAAATGAGAGTCAAGTTTGAACCAAAATCCAGATTTCTAGCATCTTAGATTGAGTAGAGGCCCAGACAGACAACTCGCATGAGAATGCAGGAGGAGAACGGACCAACTCTAATTCACTAGGGACAGGATCCCATTTCCTGCAGGTTGTAAATCTCAAACTGCTCCTCGAACTAGCTGGGGGG